TAAAATTATGGACAATGTCCTAACGGTTTCCACTGTCAGTTCTTTCCACATCCTCAGATGCATTTATCCAGTCCTGTGCCTTGTCAAGTTTAAGAATAGATAGCCTTTCCAACACTCCCTCTTTATAGAGTTTTGAACCCTTCTAGTGACAGAATTTCCTTTACGGCCTGGGTAGCATTTGCCTCTGGTAAAGACAAATGCAATATATTAATTTACTGCTTCAGCCATGCGTCTTGCTTCCATGTGTATTTTCTCTTTTATGCCTCTAATCACCCTTATTCCTCCTATTACTATCTTATTACTACTGATGTGCCTCTAGAATTCCTCTTTATGTTGGCCATCAATATTTTCTTATAATCTCTCCACATTTCTAATATGCTTTTCCAATCTCCCTCTGAACCTTTTGTTTTCTCTTGGCTCTGAATTGTATTTACTACTTCACACATATCATATGCACACTGAGTTCCTTATCCTGATTTCTATCTCCCTTTTCATCCAGAGTTCCGGATTCGTTTAGCTTGCTTTTCCCTTTTTGATACCACCTTGAATATGTCTGAACCATTTTTCTTTTGAAAGGTGGCCCATTGTCCTTTTCCATTGTCATCCTAAACCTTAATAATGATTGCTGTCTTCTAAAAATATTCCTCCACTCTCACTTGAGCTACTTGGCCCAGGTTATCTCAAGAACCAGATCCTTTGCTTTTGAACTTGTCAAAATGTTGTAGAAAACTTTCCCGAACACAATCCAGGAACATTTGTTTGTGCTCTTTTCCTTATGCTATCACTGTCTCAGTCTACATCAGGGCAGTTAAAGACCCCAATTTTAACTACTGTACAATGTTTGCATCTTTCTGTAATTTCCCTGCAGATTTACGCGTCTACACAGTTCCAACTAATTGCTGGTCTATAGTCTACATCAAGCAATGTAATTCCATCTTTAAGTTGCTTAGCTCTTGTCAAATTGATCCTCCCCTTGTTTTCTTCCAATTTTTGGCCCACAGGAACATGGAATTTAGGGGTAGGACTAGGCCATTTGGCCCTATGACCTTGCTCTACAATTCAATAGTATTGTGGCTGATTTGGGTGAAGTCTCAACTCCACTTTCCTGTCAGCACATCATAACCCCCGACTCCCTTATCTATCAAAAACCTATTTAACTCTGTCTTGAATAAGTTTAAACACACAGCCTTCTGGGGAAGAAAATTTAACAGGCTAATAATTATTTGAAAAGAAAAAAGTCACTTCATCTGCATCTTAAAACAGGAGACCTCTTTTTCTGAAATGATGTCCTCTAATTTTAATTTTCCACAAGGGAAACATGCTCTGGGTATTCCACCCTATCCAGTCCCATCAAGATTTTCTGCTTCAGTAAAATCACGGCTCATTCTTCTAAACTCCAATGGGTATACGTCTAATGTGTTCATTTTTGTTCATAAGATGACCGTTCCATCCCAGTAATGAGTTGACTGAAGCTTCTTTGAACAGACTCTGAAGTAATTATAACTCTTTTCAAATAAGGAGACCATATATTCTCTACTAAAATGGTACGCTGCTTGTAACAAGATGGGCAAATTCACATTTACTCCAGCTAACAACCTTTTTGCCACTCACTAAACTATTTCCTTTTATAGACTCTTTATCTCATATCAACTCTTTACTTTCCTGCTTATCTTGGTGCAATCAGAAAACATAGCTTTGTACATTCGGTCCCTTCATCCAAATTGAGTGGATCATGCTGCTTCTCTATCTTCATTAAGTGATTATAGCCTTCTTTAAATGCCTTGCAGGCTTCTTTGAGGCTGGTGCACAGTTTGTTACTGATATTAAACTGAAACCTGATAAACTTCAGTTTGTTTAGTGATTCACAATGACAAACCTTTTTTGAATGCTCAAGGATGAGTTAACATGAGACTTTTTTTAGGTTGTTATATTTTGCTGTGTGGTTACATTTCAGACGCCCACACAGTATTAGTGCAGTTTAAAATCTAGGCACTCTGTTTTTACATGTGCTTTTTGGAGGAGGGTGGTGGGAGGGTTGGGGAGGAGGGGGTGGGGAGCGGAGGTGCAGAACAAGGAGGCATTGTTTCAAAAACAGCATAAACAAAAATGTGGTTGCATTTCCAAATGGTCAGCCTTCAGAGGTTTATGCATTAAAAGATGTGCAGAGAGACAACAAATATTCTGAAAACAAGGCCCAGTGAAAATGATGGCCAGCAAATTGTGCACCTTCTCAGCCCATCTCTGTCCCCTGCAGCGCAGACTGCCATGCCAGATTGGGGCCACACTAATCAATGCTTATTTTTGATTTTATTTTGTGAATGGAGAACTATTTTTGTGAGCTCCAAGCACAAACCCCTCCTGACAGAAAACTGCAAATGATAAAACGCCGTTATAACCTCCAACAATCTGAAGGTTCTCCACTTGCTTAAGAAATATTAGAGCAGCTTACACTCACATTCCAAAATTATGGACTTTTCATTTCTAAACATGTTATTATTAAAAATTAAACAAATTGGAAAAACAGCCACTTTGAAGAAGAGATAAAGATTTTATGTAAACTCTCTGTTTCCACTAAATCATAGTTAAACTATTCACAGCTGGCTATACTGCAGTAGCATATTTTCAGTTAGTTGCACCAATACGTGCAGGCTAGATGGACTTGATGTTTCACTTGCAAGGCAAGACTGAAATATGCTCTTGGATACATCTACATTTTTCCATTGAAGTTGTATATTGTTTTCTTAATTCTTATGACTCATTCTAGTTAACTAAACTGCAAAAGTAAATCATTAATAGCTTTATTTATAGATGAATGTGCAACTTGTCTCTCGGTTAATATTGATTTTAGGCTTCAATGAAAAATAGGAATGGTAAGAATCTTTTGAATCCACAAGCTCTTCACTTCTTTTGTCGAAGAGGTATATTTGTAGCCATTTAAGGCTTGGGATTGTGAGGAAGCCAATCATTGACAGTGTGGATTCCATCATCTAAATTCCAAAATCTCTAATTACTAAGAAATCTGTTTTCTAACCAGTCTCAATAAATAGTAAAGCAGAAAAGATGAAGGTTTGAGAAGGTAAACATTAAATGATTGCTTGTGTCGCTTGATGAATTGGAAACAAGGAAACCACCAGGAAAAAAATAAGGGAATGAGAAAGAATGTTCACACATTGTAATTATTAAGACATGAAATGTTTGCCACATGTGGTGTTTATGCAGAGACTAGAACATTTAAAATAGAACTGGATAAGTGTCTTGAATGGGAGATTAAGAAAGGATAGAGGGAACGGGCAAAGATTTTGGATTAGAGTAGATGGGCTCAATGGATTAAATACTGTTTATTTCTGTTGTTTCTACAAGACAATATAGCTGGCATTACTTTCTACCCAGTGGGATAAACAAAATCAAAATTCGACATTGGAGTGGAACATGCTCTTCTTGGGTTGGCATTGAGGCATCAGTTTTTCCAATTGACAGTCCTAGCAAATTCCATGAAAGTTTACTTTTTGATCCACATCTTGAGTAGAGGTATTGGTGTCTTATAAAAATAGTTTTAAGTGCAAATTGTTTTCGTTTTTTTTAATGAAAGTGCAGCAGAAATAAACAAATAGTTACTATCAAGGCTCAGATTTAGTTGTTAATTTGTCATGATTAAGGGCAATAAATACCTGGGCCACATGTGGTTACATCTCAAGCAACGTCTAAGTCAGTTATTAGTTGCAGCCGTTATAACCAGTTCATGTCAAGCAAAGAGCAGTTCAAGCAGCAAACCATTACTAAACAAGAAGCACTTTGTATACAGGGATCAGTACTGGGTCCACTTTGGTTTGGCATTTATATACATGATTTGGATGAGAATAAAGAGGCACAGTTAGTAAGTCTGCAGATGACACTGGTGGGAGAGTCAACACTGAAGGAGGTTATATAAGATTACAAAGAGATATTGATCAATTGGGTCAATGGGCCAAGGAGTGGCAGATGGAGTTTAATTTGGATAAATAACAGGTATTGCATTTTAATACAAACAAGGATAGGAATTGATGGCAGGGGTCTGAACAGTTTTGTAGAACAGAGAGACCTAGGTGTTCTGAGATTAATTCTTCGAAATTTGCGTCATAGGTAGACAGGGTGGTTAAAAACTCAATTAGCATGCTTGCCTTCATTCCTCAGACCTTTGAATATAGGAGTTGGGACATTATGTTGCAGTTGAACAATACTCTTCTGGAGTACTGTGTGCAGTTCTGGTCACCCTGTTATTGGAAGGATATTATTAAATTGGAGAGGGTTCAGAAAAGATTTCCCACGATATTGCTGGGAATGGAGGGTTTGAGATATAAAAAATAGATTGGTAAGACTGGGACTTATTCCACTGGAGCGTATGAGGTTGAAAGGCGTCCTTATTGAGGTTTATAAAATCATGAGGGACACAGATAAGGTGAATGATAAGAGTCTTTTCCCTGGGGTGGGGGAGTTCAAAACTGAGGGGCATAGTTTTAAGGTGACATGAGAAAGATTTAGAAAGGACACAACTGGCAACATTATTTTTTTTAAAACATAGAGTGGTTTGTGTGTGGAATGAACTACCAGAGAAAGGGGTGAATGAGGGTAAAGTTACAATGTTTAAAAGATATTTGGACAAGTTCATGAATAGGAAAGGTTTGGAGCGATATGAGCCAAGCACAGGCAGCTGGAACTAGTTTAGTTTGGGAACCTGGTCAGCGTGGACTGGTTACACCGAAGGGTCTGTTTCCATACTGTATGACTCTATAAATTGGCAATGAAATTTCAAATATAAAAAAAGAAATTGATATTTTTTCAGAGTGATGAATAAGTTAAATAATTTAAGCTTCACATCATAACATACTGTGAGACTGCACAAACTATAAATTATAGAAAAACACTGTAAGCAGTTATTAGTTGTTGCTTCCTAAATAGCCACGCACAGGCTTGAGATGCAAAAACAGCTATGAAAATGAATGAAGTATGCAAATTCTCCTCACATATCCCAGCGCAGTTTCCTCTGTTCAGTTGGGGATTATATTCAGAGCAGGACAATGAAGGAAATACAGAATCGGTGGGAAAGAAGAGATTTCAATTCATTAATACCCAACAAAAGAATCAAATTGCAATTGTCCCTTGTGTGTTGCAGGAGGGCATTACCATGCAATGCAGTACACAATCATATGTTTTGAAATTAATACACTCTAAACTGAAGACTCTTGAGCATGGATACAATATGTACTTCACAGCAGACCAAAAATAGCTGCATTTTTAAAGTTTTCTTCTATTTTTAATCTGACAGGAACTTAAGTGTAAAAATTTCTAAAGAATTACACAGCAAGCATGGTAGATGTCACACACTGCAGCTATTGAACATGACATTAAATTCTAAACCCTCTAAACTTCCTGTGTCTAAGGCAGATAGTTAACTTCCTGTTGTATTTCAATTGTGGCTGACCCATTGATGGAAAGTTTAGTTGAATAAATACATCGTTGAATAATCTTAAATCTTGGAAACTGTCTTATCTGATCATGAGGGTCAGCAATAATTTTTCTGTGATTTTTAACTTTACGGATTCAAACAGACCAGGAAGGTTAGAGTTATGCATGAATAATGATTACCAAAATAACTGTTCTCATCGAGACATTTTGAGTACTCACCTTGCTCCGTCACAATTTTTTTTATAATTTTGAAGCACTGGTCAAAAAAGTATTTAAAATCCAACAAAAATTAATAGGTACTAAAAAACATATCCTCATGAATTCAGAGTTACAGGAACAGGTGTAGGACTCCACGTGCCGAAGCATGGACCAGTATTCATAGTGCCTCTTGCCATTCACAATATATGGTGTATCCCTACCATTGTTTGTTCATACCTTACACTGAGTTCACGCTGAGGTGATAACAGTAACAATTCGTTCATTTTTAATACCATATACAAGAGAGAAAAAGAGAGTTAAAAAGGGTACATTCATTCACATTTTGCAGTATTTTCTAACACGGCCACATGTATCTCTTCTGAAAGCTTTGCTCTGCGGAAACATAACCCCTCATTGGTTGGGCATGGAGTGGGGTTTTGGTTGAGAGGAGAAAATATTTATCTGACAAAAAAGATCTATGATAGTCTTCTTCAACAAACAGGATGAAAGGTAATGTGAAAATATAGACAGTGAGCCAAAAGCTGTACAGCAAAGGTACAGATTTCCAAATAATGCAGAACAATGCCTTAACCCTTCGTATACTAAATATACTTCCTTTACTAAAAATTTTTCACAGCTCTTGTTTTCTAAAGTGCAGAATCTATTGAGAATACTCTTGCAAGTTTAAATACAGAAATTAGAAATCTGTATGAAACAGATGCCATCTAACCCTTAATACTAAGCTCAGAGAATGCTGGAGAAACAGGCTGGCAGCATCTGTAGAGAGAGAAATAGAGTTAACATGTTGAGTCCAGTATGGTCTTCAGAAGAGTTCATTAGACATCCCAGGTACATTTGGACTTTCAGTCATTAAAGTTGTCTTTGCCGAATGTTTGGAGAAATGGGTATTTTTAGTATTGATATAGCTGCTGAGGGTTCTACCTTTATCCCACCAGATACTCAAGTGGAAACTCAAAGCATTGATCTATTTATGTAAACAGTCTCTGCTTTAAATTTATTTTCTCTATTCATTTGTGGGATGTGGGTGTCGCTCGCATTTCTTGCCCATCCCTAGCTGCCCTTGAGAAGGTGGTGGTGAGCAGCCTTCTTGAACCGCTGCAGTCCTCCAGCTGTGGATTGACCTACAATGCTATTAGGGAAGGAATTCCAGGACTTTGACCCAGCGACAGTGAAGGAACGGCGATATATTTCCAAGTTAGGATGGTGAGTGGCTTGGAGGTGGTGGTGTTCCATATGTCTGATGCCCTTGTCCTTCTAGATGGAAGTGGTCGTGGGCTTGGAAGGTACTGTCTGAGGATTTTTGGTGAATTTCTGCAGTGCATCTTGTAGATAGTACACACTGCTGCTACTGAGCATCGGTGGTGGAGGGAGTGGACGCTTGTGGATGTAGTTCCAATAAAGCGGGCTGCTTTGTCCTGCATGGTGTGAAGCTTCTTGAGTGTTGTTGGGGCTTCACTCATCCAGGCAAGTGGGGAGTATTCCATCACACTCCTGACTTGTGCCTTGTAGATGGTGGACAGGCTTTGAGTCAGGTGGTGAGTTACTCGTCGCATTATTCCTAGCTTCTGGCCTGCTCTTGTAGCCACTGTGTTTATGTAGCCAGTCCAGTTGAGTTTCTGGTCAATGGTAACACCCAGGATGTTGATAGTGGGGGATTCAGCATGTCAAGGGACGGTGGTTAGATTGTCTCTTATTGATGATGGTCACAGCCTGGCATTCGTGTGGCACGAACATTACTTGCCACTTGTCAGCCCAAGCCTGGATATTGTCCAGATCTTGTTGCATTTGAACATGGACTGCTTCAGTATCTGAGGAGTCACAAATGGTGCTGAACATTGTGCAATCATCAGCGAACATCCCCACCTCTGGCCTTATGATAGAGGGAAGGTCATTGATGAAGCAGCTGAAGATGGTTGGGCCCAGGACCCTACCCTGAGGAACTCCTGCAGAGATGTCCTGGAGTTGAGATGACTGACCTCCAACAACCACGAACATCTTCCTATGTGTCAAGTATGACTCCAACCATCGGAGAGTTTGTCCCCTGATACCCATTGATTCCAGTTTTGCTTGGGCTCCTTGATGCCATACTCAGTCGATTGCAGTCTTGATATCAAGGGCTGTCACTCTCACCTCACCTCTGGAATTCAGCTCTTTTGTCTATGTTTGAACCAAGGCTGTAATGAGGTCAGGAGCTGAGTAGCCCTAGCGGAGCCCAAACTGGGCGTCACTGAGCGGGTTATTTCTGAGCAGGTACTGCTTAATAGCACTGTTGATGATACCTTCCATCACTTTGCTGATGATTGAGAGCAGACTGATGGGTGGTAATTGGCCGGGTTGGATTTGTCCTGCTTTTTGTTTACAGGACATACTTGGGCAATTTCCAATGAAGAGGTACAAGAGCTGGACAAAAGCTTGAATTATAACATACAAAATGGAATAAAAATATAGCAGGATGAAAACTAATAGAAAGATCCTACATTCCAGATAACATCGTGCTCTGACAGAACACTAAATATTGATAGGAAATTACAAGGTTAACTTCTGATGTATTTTTACAGTTCCAACTCCACTTCCTAATGAAATGTAATTTTGCTCACAATATTTGCAATTTGATTGCACCTCAAGGTTAATTGAATGCAGCACAGCAAAGACTCACATTTCCGAATATTCAGAAAACTTCATAATTTGAAATGATGTTTGACTTTATTTTATTTTGATTCAGAAATACTGCTGTAATCCTCCAACTGCTAAAGTGCCTGCCTTCTAGAATATTCTGGCAGAAACTTGATCTGACATTTTTCCTGGAAACACATTAGTAGCAAGAGTTTTAAATTCCTGCTATTCAGTATACTGGTCTTGTCCTTATTCTCAAAATATGACCCATAGCTTTTGAAATTATTAATTAGAAAACTGTAGGCCTATCAGTAACATGTTTTAGAAATATGCAGGATTCAGCTATTTCTTGACAAAATACTTTGGCACTGGTGATTGGCTTCAATATCAGTTTTTATTTTACTACAAACATTAACTTTGCAAAAATGCCAGTCATTTTTATTCATAATAGAATTTGACCTGTGAGGTGAGCCCTGTAGATTTGTTTTAAATAAGCTGAACTCTGTTGTGCTTTAAATATTTTACGATTGACTATACAATAAACTAATTTGTACATTTATTTTGTTGACTAAACTTTAATGGAAACACTGTGCTGACATCATTCTTCAGATTACATATTTACTTTTCAGTGAAGAAAATCTTCATTCTCTTGTTAATTTTAAACAATATCCACTACTTCTGTGAAAGAGTCCATTCAATTACATTTATGGAATCTAGAATTACAGATATTTTAAACACCAAAGTCACATGCTTATTTTATCTTCTTCTCATGTAAACAACTTTGCTCAGCAAAATCTTCCATAACATGGAGTCCATTGTCTTGGATTATCCTTAGTGCCCTTTCTTGAATCATCGTTAATGCACTGATATTCTGATGAAATGGGGGCGTCAAAAATTATACAATAAATATTCCAAATGTCGAATCCTGCCAACTGATTAGGTCAGCATCAAGTCCAGGTTCATCAACTTCTACACGAATATCCTCTTAGCTCCCAGTTGAATTGAACTAAAACTATGAAGTAGGCAGAATTTAATGCACTCCCCCTAGGCTCATTTGGAGATGGGGTGGCATTTATTCAGGCAGGAAGATTCCAGCTGAGAACTCCTCAACTTTCTATCCCACTGTCCATAGGGGGCCTCAAGTGGCAATTAGTGCCCACAAGGGTCTCATGCCATGACTGCAGGGCTGAACCTCGTCGCAGGTGGGACAATTGCCATTTGGAAAGCTTGAAAAGCAAACCCTCCTGGGAGGTGCATGTGGACTTCTAGGAGGCCAATCATTGAAGAATTTCAGTGGCTGATCAAGGGGCCCAGCATTGAGAAGGGAGGTGAGGTGGATGAGAGTAGGGGATAGTCTCACATAAAATTGACCCTGCCACTGCTGCTGACCCCATTCTTCCCTCACCTATTTGTGACCTGGGTTGAGAGCGATTCTAGGCTACTAGAGGGCATCTTACCAGCAACTGCCACTCCTCTCTGTGACACTGTCTGCAATGGAGAGCCACCAGCATCTGTTTTACCAGTGGCTGCTGATCTTCCATTGGAGGGGTCACTGCAGATGGTCTCTGAGGGCAACACTGATCAGCCCTGCATCCAGGGGGACTGGCGTCAGTCACCACTACTTGATATATCGGTGGCAGCCTCCACTGGTTGATTAACAACAGGGAGGGCACTGCTGGAGTAGAAGTAGTAGGAGGATCAATGCTATCATCCTGCGAGATGACAGTGGGTTCATGTTCCACAGTG